ATGTATTTTTTGTCATGTCCTCAGATCAATTCTAACACAAACTAGGTGCACACCACATGCTCTTGTTGTAAACTTCTCTTCTTGACAAGGAGGGGTGTTAAGGCTGTAGTACTGAATGGGGCTGGTAAACCCAAAGTATTTTTTTGTCACGTTGCAACCGTGTTTCTAATTTAGTGACTGTATGAAAATAATAATAGTTTATGATCTACCAAGGGGGTTTGGGGGTGGAGGGAAGGGGAAAAATAAGGACCTGATAACAAGGGCTCAATAGAAAGTAAATGTGTGCAAGTGAATGAAAGCAACATATGTACAAATATGCTTGATGCAATCAATGTATGGATTGTACCAAGAGATGGAAGAGTCCCCAATAAAATATTTAAAATAATAATAGTAGTAATTTAGTGACTGCTGCTAATGAATCAGAAAACATCGATGACAACATGATTCGGATTCTTTTTTAAACTCTGATTTAGTTACAAACTCAGGTTCCCAGTTTTAACCCCATCGCACTAAGGGGCAAGCTCCCTCATTTGCAATTAGCACACTAAAGTTGGGGGTTCAATCACCAGCCCAAAAGACACCGCTGTTCTGATTGTCGCCTTTGACAGAATGGAAGGGGAGGAAGTTGTGCCACGTGTTCAAGGGACTGTGGGCACCCAAAAGCAGCCACCATGAGAAGATACAATGTTGTCACATGAAGACTCGTATTTGTCCTGTCACAATCAGCATGGTCGACCATGCTACCTTTCATGGTAGCCTTTAGGAACCATGCCTTCTTAGCTTTGCTGTGCTGGCTTCTCTTTTTCACTCAGTGAACTGGTCCTTTTCAAGTCCTATTTCCAATGATGTTTTGTAGGATGACTTCCAAAAACATGGAATAACCTGGTGATTTTTCCTACTGTCATATTTTCTTTTAGTAACTCTCCAAGTTGAGGGTCTCTCTCAAAGGTGGGTTCATGGCATCTATTCTAAAATCCGCGTTATTAACACTTAAAGTTTCTTTGGCTAATTTGAGTCTGACTCTTCCTGTCATTTCTCCCTTTTCTTCAATGGATCATTTTAGTGGGGGGCTCCTATCAATCTTATAACAATCCACCATTCGATAGTATCAAGCACACTTGAACGTATGTTGCCATCAGCACTTCCAAAGCAGTGAAGTTTCACTTCCGCCCTGGGCATCAGCTCCCTTTTCGCCTCCCCCTCCCCCTGTAATGTCTTTACTCGAGGTTTATCTGCTAATTGTTCTTCTGGTGTTAACCTTTCTCATCGTCCAGTTGTTCCCACCTTCCTCTAATGTCCTCTTGCTTTCCCTTTGCTTGCTTTGTTGCTCACCATTCTTGTTCTTTGATCTCTGCTATCTTTTCTGAAACGTTTACTTTCTACTCTGAAATGGCTTCCTTTCCCCCCCCTCTCATCGTCATCTACCAGGTTTGCTTGACATCTTCTGTTTTCTCTTGCTTCCTGGAGAGCTGAACACCCACGTCTGCATCACAGTGCAGCCAGCTTGAGGCGCAGATGTCGTCTGACTTGGGCTCAAGGCAGACACATTGTCCCAGAGTGCACGCACTGCCTGCAAACCACCCTTCAAGAGGGACCCTACGGAGTAGACCAGCCAGGAGATCATTCCAATGTCCCCTGACAGACGGGATTCACCGACAGACCCTCTTTTGCACGCCTAGGAGCTGTGCACGCTACTATAAATGCTTTCGTGACTTTTGTGGCATCAGTCATGGCTCGCAAATCCAGAAACTATATTAACCATTCTTCAGCTTCATTGCTCAAATGTCCATCATGCTACGGGCATTCCTTACATCTCTCGAGCCAAGCTCCCATTGAACGCGTGCATGCCACTCTATTACCTGAATGATTAAATCAGAAGGGAGCTATGAAGGGCATTTCGGTAGATGACAAAGTTTATGCAACCTGGCTAACTCATTTCTTTCGACTAGAGCATTGGACCTATCTAGAGCAGAATGACGCTTTTGTACCCTAGAGATCAAGCTGATGCTGAAGAGATCTGGTGGAAGAAGGGCAGTGAGACTGCGTAAGTAGGCTTGCTAATCGCCAAGGGTTGGGATATGCTTATATTTTCACCGTTGGAGAAAATGAACAGACTCCCCTTAGGAGAGTGGGACCGCGTGTACACAGAGATGGTGAAGCCACCCAGACCTCTTCACCCTGACTCGGTCCCCAAGTGACTAACCACCGCCCAACGGGAAGGGCTGTGCTTCGTGTTTGCACAGGTGACGCAAACGCAAATGTGTTTCCTTTAGGGCCCAGGGCAGGGGGGCAACAGATGCTGTGGTGCGGATGGTAGGAAGACGGTCCAGAAACCTCCCTGCTGGTGTTGATGGCAAGGGCTGCCGTCCCTGGACTTCTGGCCCTTTCACTGCAAGGGTACTCCAGGAGTTGATGCAAAGTGAACGTTTTGTGCAGAAATGGCCAGCTGATGTCGATCAGCACAAGGCCACCCAGACGGAGGTGGACGGTGACCTGGGATGGAAAGTGGCTGAGCCACAACACTGTTCTGTGGCTAGTGGAGCATATGATCGAGTGAGAGCAGCCACTGATGCTGAAACGTGACTGGAACACGACAGAGAATTGTGTCACCCTGTATCTGCACAGTGACACCTGGCATGATCGGTCCTTAGTTAGAGGCCACCTACAGGGATGGTGTGAAACCAGGTGGACTCGAGGAACAAATACAGGGACACACATATATGTATAAGAACTTTATATCAAAGAGCTACTGTAGATTAAGAAAACATCCCAGCCCGGTCCAGATCAAATCCATAATTAGCTGGTAAGTCCAATACGAGGCCATAAATCCGTCTTTAGACTCAGGCAACACCTGCAGTGATGAAAAGTCAGGAAGCTCACAGGCCGCAGGGTGTAGTCTTGTGTCCGATAATGCTGAAAGCATCTTCAGGCGTCAGGTCTACGCTCAGATCCACGTGGTTTGTCAGCGGGCAGATGAAAAGCAGAGAGAGGAAGTTCCCAGAATCCTCCAGAGAAGGCCACGCCCACACGGATGCATCATCCGACTGTGACCTGAATTGACAGGCTAGGCTCCACCCCACACTTATTTATCAAGTTGATGTGAAATTATAGAACTTGACAGATGGGAGCATCTCATTAGACATAAAGGTTTTAAATGTGTTTAGGGATGGGTTTAAAATATGTAGCACTGGCATGATTGAAGAGTTGGATGGGCAGCGGTTCTCAACCTTCCTGATGCCGTGTCCCTTTAGTAGAGTTCTTCACGTTTGGTGACCCCCCAACCATAAGATTATCTTCATTGCTACTTCCTAATTTTGCTGCTGTGATGAATCAGGCGACCCCTGTAAAAGGGTGCTTTGACACCCCAAAGGGGTCGAGATCCACAGGTTGAGAACCGCTGGGCTAGAGGGACTTGACCCTCGGCTGGGAAGTCTTACTCCTTAGAAGGGTTCCGGTGAAGTTGTTACTTATTTGTTGTGTTGCTAACTTTAGCACCTGCAGCTTTTCCAGAAGGCTCCGTGTGTAGAGGGAAGGCATGTTCTCACTATAGCCTATTTGAATTTAGAGGGTGAGATGGGGAATTGTGGGCAACTGAGGACCTGGAAGGTCCTTAGCCTGCTCACTACATGCCTGACCACAGGGCTTCCCAAACCAGCATTAGGGACGGGAGATTCCTCCAGGGTCCCAAAACAGGTCGTGTTGGGGTGTGTGTATCCTCCAGAAAGTTCTCTCCATTAAAATGCAAATAGAAAGTCCTCTCAACAATGAGTTCCACTGTGGGCATCCATATGTGGATTCCCCACACTTGTGATGTTCAGAAGGCTTCTCTCCAGTAGGAGTCTGCTTCTGCACATTAACATTAGGTCAGAGGAGTTTCTAAAGGCTTTCCCACGCTGCTTACCATAAGGCTTCTCCCCAGTGTGAGTACTGTTGTGTACATTGAGGTAATAGGGGGCTCTAAATGCTTTCCCACGTTGCGTACCTTCCTGAGAGTATCCCCCCATGACAAGTTCTATGCAGTACAAGTTGTGAGGAGCCAAGGAAAGCTTTTCCACAATCCATACACGTCAGTCTGCATGTATGTCCTAAGGTGTAAGGAAAGTCTAAAGCAGGGTGCTCACTTTTTCAGCGTGCGAGCTACTTGTAAAATGATCGAGTCAAAATGATCTACCAGCCACAAAAATGCAAAACATATTTTTATTTATTACATTTACTCATAAACACGTTGTGAGTTCTTTATATGTACAATGCATGTTTATGTACCTTGCATACCCGCATGAGTCCATATTGCACAACACAACACAACACAATTAACTATGTACATTTCTGGTCATTACCTGAGTTTACCCTGATTAATTGCACTGAATGGAATGAACCAGGGATGCATAGTCCGGACAGTAGCTGCTGACCACTAGCCTCAAGCACATTTCTAAATGATCGTCAGTCATGGTGGTACAGTGCTTGGACTTAGTGATCTTTATGTGGGAAAAGATTGCCTCGCATAAAAAATCCTCCTCTCATTCCACAGGAAAGTGATACGTTTCTGTCTTCTTTCTTGGTCCAGCTCCCCCATCATTTTTATACCCTTTCTTATGTTGAAGAGAAAAAAACAAGGTCTAACAATTGGTGATAACTTAGCGTGTCAGTTTTGCTGCACTTAGCAGGGCAGCTGTTTGCACATGCGTTTGACACCCAAGATTGCATAGGCTTGGCTGCGCTGTAAATCAGTTAAGCGATGAGATTGATGAGGTATAGGTCTATTTTTTTAGTGCCATGGGATCTGCTAGTAGATCTCGATAGACGTATTGAGCGCCCTGGGGTAAAGGTTATATCCCACATGGCTTACACATGTAAGGCGCCATTGCACTCTGTATCTTGACTTGAGGAGTTGGTATCAAGAAATGCTTGCTCACGCTCCATACGCTAATAAGAGTTCTCTTCACTGTGAGTCCGCAGGTGTCTGATAAGGTGTGAGGAATTTTTAAAGGCTTTCCCACATTCCTTACATTTAAAAGGCCTCTCTCCGCTGTGAGTCCTGACATGTCTGATAAGTTGTGCAGACATTCTAAAGGCGTTCCCACATTCCGTACATTTAAATGGCTTCCTGCCACTGTGAGTTCCCAGATGTGTGTTAAGGGTGGAGGAACGCTTAAACTCTTTCCCACATTCCTCGCATTTAAATGGCCTGTCCTCAGAGTGAGTTTTCACATGGTTGCTGAGGCAAGAGGAACGTTTGAAGGCTTTCCCACATTCCTGACACTTGAATGGCCTGTCTTCAGAGTGAGTTTTCACATGGAGAACGAGGAAGGAGGATTGAGCAAAGGCTTCCCCACATTCCTCACATTTAAACAGCCTGGCTCCGCTGTGAGTTTGCTGATGGGTGATAAGATGTGAGGAACTTTTAAAGGCTTTCCCACATTCCTGACACTTGAATGGCCTGGTCTCAGAGTGAGTTTGCCTGTGCTTCATCAGGTAAGAGGAGCAAGTGAAGGCTTTCCCACACTGTGCACATTTAAAAGGCTTTGCTTCACTGTGAGTTTGCAGATGGATGATAAGGTAAGCGGACCGACCAAAGGCTTTCCCACATTCCTTACACTTAAAAGGCCGCTCTCCACTGTGACTTTGCAGATGTCTGATAAGGTGTGAGTAGCGTCTAAAGGCTTTCCCACATGCCTTACAGGTAAAAGGCCTGTCCTCAGAGTGAGTTTTCATATGCTTGCTGAGGTACCTGACACAGGCAAAGGATTTCCCACATTCCTTACATTTGAAAGGCTTCTCTCCACTGTGAGAGCGTAGATGTGTATTAAACCATGAAGGGCACGTGAAGGATTTCCCACATTGCTTACACTGAAAGGGCCGGTTTCCAGCATGCGTTTTCTGATGCTTCCTGAGGTAAGTGGACTGACTGAAGGCTTTCCCACACTGACATTTAAAAGGCCGCTCTCCAGTGTGCGCTCGCACATGTGTGTTAAGACTGGAGGGACTTGTGAAGGGTTCCCCACACTGCTGACAGATGAAAGGCTTGACTCCGATGTGTATCCACTCGTGATGACACAGGGATGCACGCTCACAAAACGCTTTCTCACAGCGTTTGCACTGATAGCGCTTGTCACCACTTGCTGTTTCCATGGGATTGTTAGGGCTGGACAAGCAACTATAGCCCTTCCCACGTCCCCTTTCATCACAGGCATCCTCTCTTGTACGACTTCTCAGGGGTGTGGTTACCTTAACATGACGAGTGGAGGTTTGTCCAGAATTTTCACAGTCACAGGTACTGTCACCTGTGTGAGTTCCAATATGATGATTGTGAGATGAACGATCCGTGAAGGCCTTTCCACACCGACCACATGGAATTGGATGCTCTTCGGATAGTTTGCTGTGTGCCACAGTGCCACTGGGCACCCGCTCCAAAATCCTTGCACCGAGATTGTCTTCGTTCCTTTTAGATAAGTTGTCTACTGTGAGATTTCTGTAAAAATCAGCAATGGTCTTAGACAAAATGTTTTTTGTTTCGCATTTCTAAATAGGTTAAATTTTCAAGATTCTATGAGTAGATAGTTTCAGCAAGGCCTCTATATAAGATAAGCATGTGGGGTCCGTGGGGATGCTATGAGGGCACATTATGCAGCTCTCTAGAAGGTCAGCAGTTTGAGCCTCCCTGCAGCTCTGCCGCAGAAGAAGCTTGTTTCGTACCTTACTATCGACAGCAGGGGGCGCGCATACTCACAGTTCTACCCCGCCCTACAGGGACTTAATGGGATAGAATTGACCCCACGGGAGTTATAGACCCATGATACTACCCACACACAGAACACACACATTTGTTATACCAGGACTTTGAATCAGTTTATAACAATGCACTTACATTCCCAATGTCAGTGAGGGCAAGGGATGAATGTCGTTTCTCAAACTGTTAGATCCTTTCAGAAGCTGCGTGGCTGACAGCACTGTGGAGAATGAATGGCACTGAAGAGGTGCAGGTGATTGATCAAACTTGAGTGGGGCCACTGTTTTAGGTGAGGTCAAACCACCAGGTAAAAAAACGTGGTTCTTTCTCATGGAAAGATTCTAGGTCTGGAAATATGTACGTGAATAAATATGCCCAAGAGTGTTTTAATGTGATCCTATGATGCGGTTTTCCCCTGAGGAAATGATGCCTTTGAATGATACTCACGTCACACGTCTCCCCTGCCCTTTACGCTGATCTCCACCAACACGCCCTGCAGAGACATCTGCGATGAAGGAGGACCAGGTCTCATTCTTCATGAATCGCAGCAGGATCCCTTCACGGGGCAACTTTTCTTCACCATCTGAACGTTGAGAGACTAGCATGTTAATTCAAGTTAACGTTCATTGGGAGAACGGAGAATGAATTACTACTGAAAACAGATTTTGTCAAAGAAAGACTTAGCACCACCTTGCTGTTTCAGCAATTCAGAAATGGATAAAAAGCCATTTCTGAGCAAATACTTCCATCTGAATTCAGAGTGAGTGACAAAAATCTGTCCTTAGGAGATCGACAGAACCCGCGGAATATTGAAAAAGCACACGGTGCTGACTACAGGTGTAACAGCACAAAGATCGGAAGAGCTTGTTCAGGTGACCAAGACGATGAGTCTTGCCACCAAAAGATACCTTGCCAGGTTGCTTGTGTAAACATACCATCTATATTCGTGTACAAGCCGAGTTGTTACAGCACATTTCCATGCTGAACACCCCCCCACACACACACCTGTTTTTTGGTGGTAAAATCAGGTCCCTCAGCTTATACTTGAGTGTATACAGTAACTGGCCCAAGTCTTAAATGCCTGCTGTCTTAAGCTCTTCCCTTGCTTTGCTCAGAACACAAATGGGTAGAAATGGCAGGATGGTTAGAGAGCCATCCACAGCATGAAGGAAAACATCACAGAGCAGGGGCCAGTTCCCTGACACCAAGCTGAATTCTTCAGGGCCTCTGAAGGTGAACAGTTGCCATGCAGTTTACTGTAGAACGAGAACGTCAAACTTGGAGTCAGCTCAGTGAAACGCCCTATTAACACTGAAGACACAGAGCCCTGCCTGTCCTACAGTCCCCTGTAGAGCCAATGCTTATCCTTCAAACACAGAAAGAACCTCAGGGGGGATTGACCCCAATAAAGTTGAACTGTTACGGATACAACGATGTATGTTCATGGTGAAACCAAGATCTTTGAGGTCTAGGGATTAAGGGATCGAGCCTGCTTTACTAAAGTATGTATATAGTTTTCCATCCCAGATGCTGAAGTAAAGTCAATGAAAAGACTTCTGTCCAGTACGGGTATTTAAGAACAGACACAAACAAAACCCCATGATTCCAGCATCATTCTTACCAACTACGGAGGTCAGGTTTCTCAACGTGTCCGTCATCACATCTCTGTAGAGCGTTTTCTGAGCATCATCCAGCAGAGCCCACTCCTCCTGGTTAAAGATGATGACCACGTCCTCAACAGCCACGGAGCCCTGAAACATCCACACGTCCCGTGTCAGGAAGGAATTGAGCACGCAAACATGCTGAGGAACAAACGGGGAGGCCGACAGACCTGGAGACTGATCATTTATACAAGTTTGGCAAAATGATCTGAGTTCTGCCAAGGGCCACCCTGAGGGATGTCCATCCACCTCAGTCACACACTAACACAATGACTTCCTCATGAACCGCATGATCTCAATGCCTTGTGACATCCTGACGTCCTCTCCACAGTGGGACTGCCGGTCACTGCAGGCTTATCCCTCAAGCGTTATGATCTACACTCATGAAAACAGAAGAAATAAAGAAAGTGGCAATTTGAACACTGTTTGCTTAGGAACACACACTTTCCCCTCCCCACCCTTTATAAGAGCCAACCCATGCTTCATCGTGCCCACAGAGAACATGACAGAGGCAGGGAACAGAGGCAGGGCAAGCCCTTGAAGCGGAAGTTCCTGCTGAACCCGCTTATTTTGATGTGTGCGCAGTTCTGTGCCTGGTCTGGCCATTACTCTCCAATCACAGTATGGATGCCCGAAAGCCCCTCAGAAAGTAGGAAACGGAAGGAGGAAAAGTCCTTGTCTCCCGACTCAGAGCTAACTCACTTGTCAAAGCCCTGGACTCAAGCCAGATATAATCCTTCCCTCCAGGCTGATGACCTTGGAAACCGTTCAGGTCATGATTTTAGGCATGAGGACAGATGCCATCTCATACTGGCGATGCAACAAAAGAAACGTCCACATGGAGATGCCGCCTCGCTTTCTAAAGGGTGGACAGGGGGTTCAAGTGGAATTGAAAGGCAGTGGAATCCCGCACATCTTAAAGGGCTTTCCTTTCGCAAATGTGAAGCAATGATTCTTTTTATTAAAAATGTTACCCATTTAATAGGAAATAAGGCTCCAAGAGACCTGCCCCATCCAAAACACACGGATGGGAGGTAAGGGGTCAGTAAATAGCGTACTTGGGAGAGAGGAGCATCGAGTGATGGAACAGATAAAATTCTGTCACTAGATTTCCCACTATCAAGCAGGCTGGACCTGCTCTGGTTTCCAAATTTCTCTGTATTTGGATCATATTGTTTTGTGTGGATCCTGTTGGCCCAGAGTGTATCTCAGGGGTGCTCAGTCGATGGACGTTATGCTCAAAGCTGTGTTTTGGTTTTCCGTTCTCGGTACAGAAAACCGAGGATTGAGGAGGGTACAGGGACAGCAGGTCAAATAGGGGTTCCGTGGGAGGGGGCCCAGGGGTGGTTTGAGTAAAAGGGCGACGAGGTCCAGAAGCACATTTAGAAAAGGGATGGATGGAAAGGGACGGCAGTAGCAAATGTACAATTGTACAGTCAACAGACGCGACGGAAATATGGAATGCTACCTGCACTAAACCGCAGCAAATAAACAAGAAACCGCAGAGATAGTTTTACTCATTTCCGGTAGAAGCCCTAAGGAACAAAACACAGGAAGCCACTTAATCACGTTAGAAATGGGTTGTCAGTAGTGAAACTTAAATGGGCACGAAGGCAGGTGGCATTCACAATCGCAGAGACTCGGAGGCAGATTCTGCAGCTGTTGCAATCACGCTGTCTCGTGGCACCAGCTCAGGTGCCCAGCTGTTTAAGCACTGCCTGCTGGCGAGACAAGGTCATTGGTTGGCAGTGTACTTTTAGGGTGACAGACCGGTTAATGCAGTATTCAATGTACGCATTAGACATTCACTTTCAAACCCACAAAACCATTAACTGCAATCACGTCAGGCTCAATTGTTATGAAAAACGTCTCCTACACACGCACAACACACACACACACACCCTTCTCCCTGTGAAGTGCTCCTGGCAGCTGCAGCCCCTTCCCCTTCCCCGCCCAGCTGTCTCCCCTTCTCCCGTCCACCCCCTAGTCTGATTTGAGTCTTCCCTGCATTCCTTCGCAGCAGATTTAAAGTGGACCCGGGCCCACCATTTCATTCAGGCAACAATGTTCTTTCCCATGTGGGACCGTCTGTTCCCAGACACCTTCCTTTGTCAGGGGAGCCAGTCCTCGACAACGTCACAGGCAGAGAATAAGAGAGATCGGAGACACATTTCACCTCAGCCCTTCTTGATGGTCCACGGGGAGGTGCTGGAGAACGATTTCTTTCTAACCAAGGTTCATATATCTTCTGGGGCAACAACCAGGACGACGTTGCACCCTAGGGAATACAGCAATGGGAGGGGGACGATCCAGGGGTGCACGCCCTGTAGGAAGAGGAGGGACTGAGGGGACATGAGTGACAAGATGGGCGGATCCTAGATTCACGATGGCAGCCTAACCTTGAGCCTCCTTGAGCTGGTGGTTTGATTTATTCCGAGCCGTCAGGGAAAGCACTGCACTGTCCTTAACAGCAGGGTGTGAGCCGTGGACCAGACAGTAGTCTGCTTGCTCCGGATGGCTGCTGCCTTCAGGGAGAAAACTTGACAATCATTTACCATTAGCTGCACGCAGTGCCCTAGGTGTGACCTCTATCTGGGGGAGACAAGCTGGGGAAACGCCTCTGTGATTGCCTTCATTCTCTGACTGGTGCCTGTTCTTTCTCCTTGAGCTGCGGGAGCCTCCCTTTCGGCTCCACACTCCTCTGCAGGGTCAGGATAGAAGTTTCTCACAAGCGCACACCACTGACTGCGGCACACGGGTCTCCAGCCGCCAGCACGCTCAACGCGAGGCATACTGGCAGCCTTCAATGTTGGCTGGCCGCCACCAAGCACGTGGCCCCTCCTCAGCCCCCCCTGGAAGAAGTGGTAGTCACTGGCAAGGCAGGACAGTGGGACCTGGTTCCCTTCTGCTAACCAGCGGCTTGCCCTGCAGAGTCACCCCCTCCCTGGTTAAAAACCTGTTTTGCCCCCTCTGCTCAAAGGCATGAGCTTTTGTCCTGCACTTGCTGCAAAGCTTCTAAGACAAAGTACCAGCACCCGACCCCCCAA